TATTTAAATTCCTAGGATTAGTTTGTTTCTGATATTTTTCCTGTTTAGTTAAAATAGGATTCAGTTTTCTAGTTTTATCTCTTTCCCTGATTATAGGGATTTGTTGCACTGGAATATTTCTGGTGTCTATTTATTGTACGTTTTTTTTCTTTTAGTTTTAATGGAAAAACTGGTTCCATCATTCAAACTTTCTATATGGTATCAGAGCTTGATTTTTAAGGGACTGATCCACCCGTGGCTACCAATGTGCCACTCTTTGGCACCATGAGAGCCTACCAAACTACTTCTTCCAATACCACCGGTACAAATACCACTCCAACAACAACCCCACTCAATGTTTCAGCATCAAACCAAACCAACAACAACTCAGCAGCTGTCATTACCAACGATAGTCCAGCATTAGTCATCACTGGTCATCGATTCAATGGAGACAATTATTTGTTGTGGTCACGCAGCGTTCGTATGTTCATTGGAGGCCGTGGCAAGGGAGATCATCTCACCGGTACGGGTGATGCTGCTCCTCTGGAAACCAGTCATCCACAATACAAGAAGTGGTCCATTGAAAATAACCTTGTGATGTCTTGGTTGCTGAATTCCATGGTGCCTGAAATAGCTGAAACATACATGTTGTGCTCCACAGCCAAGGAAATTTGGGATGGCGTGAAGGAAGCCTTCTCTAAGGAAGATAACACAGCTGCCTTGTTTCACATCAAGGGGATTCTTCGTGATCTCAAACAGGAGGACAAGGATGTCACCAGCTATTATAATTCACTCCTAAAATTCTGGCAACAATTGGATCTTTATGATCAACATGAATGGACTACTCCAGCCGATACTCTTCAGTATAAGAAAATTGTTGAACAAGACCGCACCTACAACCTTCTTTTGGGACTCAATCCAATCTATGATGGAGCTCGCAGCCACATCATGGCCACTCGCCCTCTGCCATCCTTGCGAGAAGTTTTTTCTGAATTAAAGTGGGAAGAAAGCCGCAAAGTTTTGACCAATAGCATCCCAAAAGTTGATGCACCTTTGGAAGCAGCAGCCTTTGTCTCTAGACCTAACAATGCAGACTCCAGACCTAGGCGAAATGGTAAGCTCTGGTGTGACCATTGCAACAGAACTGGGCATATTCGGGATACATGCTGGAAAATCCATGGCAAGCCAGCTGATTGGAAGCCAAGACAAAACAGAGACTTTAATCATGTTGCTGCAGTTGTAGAAGATGTTCCGCAAGCAAAATCCGAAGGCCATACATTTACAAGGGAACAAGTGATAGCCATACAACGCATGCTGCAAGATTGCAATAAGGACAAATCTAATCCCTCATCTGATAGTCATCAATCAGGTACATTCCATACAGCTCTCCAATCCGATCTTGATAAATGTGATTCCTGGATGGTAGATTCTGGGGCTACAGATCATATGACTGGTAATTCCTCTCTTCTTTCTGAATACTTTCCCATTTTCGAGGCAAAATCAGTAAAAACAGCAAATGGAGGCTTAGCCAAGGTTCACGGAATTGGTGTTGTTCACCTATCGTCAACCATATCTTTAACTGGAGTTCTCTACGTTCCATCTCTTACCTGCAATTTAATTTCTATTACCAAATTGACCAAGGATTTAAAGTGCACAGTCAAATTTACCCACGTTGATTGTATTTTTCAGGATTTGGCATCGGGGAGGACGATTGGCAGTGCTAGGGTCTCTAATGGTTTATATCAACTTTACACAGCCGCGGTTATGAAGACTCAAGACAGCACATTTGCAGCAACTAGCAATTTGAATAAGGCTCTTTTATGGCATTTTAGATTAGGGCATCCAAACTTTCAATATATGAAAAAGATGTACCCTTCTTTATTTAATGAGAATTCGAATTTTCCTTCATGTGATATATGTCAACTTGCAAAACAAACTCGGTCTCATTATCCCTTACAAATGCATGTTCCTTCTAAACCATTTGCCATTATCCACAGTGATGTGTGGGGACCTGCAACTGTTAAAAGCCTTACGGGTGCTCGTTGGTTTGTCACATTTATTGATGATCATACTCGAATGACATGGGTGTACCTATTAGCCAATAAATCTGAAGTCACATCCACCTTTAAAGTCTTTCACAAAATGATCCTTGCCCAATTTCAAACCCAAATCCTTACCCTTAGATCTGACAATGCACGTGATTATTTTAACTTGGACCTTTCAGCTTACCTAAAAGACCATGGCATCATCCACCAGAGCTCTTGTGTCAATACCCCACAACAAAACGGTGTATCTGAGAGAAAAAATCGCCATTTACTTGAAGTTGCTCGTAGCCTACTCTTTGCCTCAAATACATCCAAAAATTATTGGGGGAAAGCTATTCTTACAGCCACTTACCTTATCAACCGCATGCCATCTCGGGTATTACACTTCTCCTCACCTTACCAAACACTCCTCACTGCATTCCCTTCATTGACCTTAACCCCAAATCTCCCACCAAAAATTTTTGGTTGCACCGTGTTCATTCATAACTCTCAAGGTGGTAAATTGGATCCTCGGGCTCTTAAGGGCATCTTTCTTGGCTATTCCCCTACTCAGAAGGGGTATAAATGCTTCAGTCCAGCCACACATCGATTCTACATTACTAAAGATGTCACCTTTTTTGAACATCAGCCTTATTTTTCCCAAACCGCCATTCAGGGGGAGATCCCTAATTCCAAGGAATGGTTGTTTGTGACTAATACTCCAGAAAACTCTGCTTCAACAGCCCCTACACCGGTCTTAGGTGAATCTCAGGAAAATGACACTTCATCTAATGGCTTATCCTCTTCCGGCCCGCTCCAGAAACCGCCTGAACAGCAGCCCCTGCAAGTCTACACGCGACGGCCCAAATACAGAACAGCTTCTGAGATGCTTGAACATGTTGACAAACAGATTACCTTGGCTCCTGGTCCAACTGAAGAAACCATTAGTCCTGCACTTGACCAAACTGAATCCTTGCTGCCAAGTTCTGATGATGCTCTGCACATGCCAATTGCACTTCGTAAGGGGGTAAGGACATGTACAAGTCATTCCATCTGTAATTTTATATCCTATGCTAATCTTTCCTCCAGGATGCAGCATCTAGTCAAGAACATTGACAAGGAAACCATTCCTACATCCTACTTTGAGGCATCTAAGACTACTGAATGGTGTTCTGCTATCCAGGATGAATTGCATGCACTCAAAAAAAATGGCACTTGGGAGATAGTTACCTTACCACAAGGAAAATCAGTGGTTGGCTGTAAGTGGATTTTTACCATCAAATATAATGAAGATGGGAGTATTAATCGCCATAAAGCAAGACTTGTGGCCAAAGGATTCACTCAGACACAGGGCATTGATTACCAGGAAACCTTTGCTCCAGTAGCAAAATTTAATTCAATTAAAATTCTTTTGTCCATTGCTGCTTGCCTAGATTGGCCCCTTTGGCAAATGGATGTGAAGAATGCATTCTTAAATGGTGACTTAGAAGAAGAGGTTTACATGGAAATTCCCCAAGGAGTGGAAGATGGTCAAGGATCTCGAAAGGTATGTAGATTATTAAAATCCCTTTATGGTTTGAAGCAATCTCCAAGGGCTTGGTTTGATAAGTTTACTGCAGTTGTCAAAAATCAAGGGTACTCCCAATGTCAAACTGATCATACTATGTTTGTTAAAACTGCACCTCATCAGAAAATTACAATATTAATTGTCTATGTTGATGATATTGTGATTACTGGTAATTGGGAGGATGAGATAAAGCAATTAAAGGAGACGTTAGCTCACAAATTTGAGGTCAAGGACCTTGGAAAATTACGATATTTTCTTGGAATGGAAGTGGCAAGAACTAAGGAAGGAATTTCAGTTTCTCAAAGAAAATATACTCTTGATCTGCTGAATGAAACAGGGATGTTGGGATGTAAACCTTCTGATACACCAATGGAGGCGAACTACAAGATAGGACTCAAACAAGAATGTGCTTCGGTAGACACTGAGAGATATCAAAGACTAGTTGGAAAACTCATTTATTTAGCCCACACTAGGCCTGATATTAGTTTCCCTGTGAGTGTGGTCAGTCAATTTATGAACAGCCCAAATGAAGAGCACTTGGAAGCCGTCTACAGAATCCTACGATACTTAAAGATGACTCCTGGTAAAGGATTGTTCTTCAAGAAAAATTCCAGCCGTGATATTGTGATTTACACGGACGCTGATTGGGCAGGATCCATTATCGATCGAAGATCAACCACAGGCTATTGCTCATATGTGTGGGGAAATTTGGTCACTTGGAGGAGTAAAAAACAGTCTGTGGTAGCCAGAAGCAGTGCTGAAGCCGAATACAGGGCATTATCCTTAGGCACTTGTGAGGGAATGTGGATTTTAAGAGTCCTAAAGGAGCTACACCTCGAATACAAGGATCCTATGAAGATTTTCTGTGATAACATGGCCACCATTGGAATTGTCAATAATCCAATCCATCATGACCGTACCAAGCATGTTGAACTTGATAGAAATTTCATTAAGGAAAAAATTGATGCAAATATTATTGATCTAAGTCACATTTCCACAGGGTCCCAGATTGCTGATATCTTAACCAAGTCTTTATCAAGAATTAAATTTGAAGGACTAATTTCCAAGCTGGGAATGCTGGACATCTACCACCCAGCTTGAGGGGGAGTGTTGCAATCCCTAGTTTTCAGCATCTAGAATGTTTTATTTTTCCTCCTTAATCTTAGGAGTTTGTTTCGTTATTTGTTATTTAAATTCCTAGGATTAGTTTGTTTCTGATATTTTTCCTGTTTAGTTAAAATAGGATTCAGTTTTCTAGTTTTATCTCTTTCCCTGATTATAGGGATTTGTTGCACTGGAATATTTCTGGTGTCTATTTATTGTACGTTTTTTTTCTTTTAGTTTTAATGGAAAAACTGGTTCCATCATTCAAACTTTCTATAGTTTTTGTTCATTCTAATCTCTTAAAAAATGTTTTGCTCCTCTCTTAGGTTGTTATAGCCACAAATATAGCAGAGACCAGCATAACAATAGATGATGTGATATATGTAATTGACTGTGGAAAACATAAGCAGAATCGCTATAATCCACATAAGGTATGTTTTCTTTCTCATTTTCAAATGAGTTATTTTATTATTTTTTTTCATGTAGCAACTATCTCTAAAGTTTAGACTATTGGGTGAAAGCATATGAATGATTATATATCTAACATGCCCCGTCACACAACGGCCCTTCCGGCTTGATGCTCGGAAAATGCACAAATGTGCCCTACCTTGTATTAAAATATAACGTTTATTTAGAAGAATGGGGACAACAAGGATCGAATTCTAGATCACATAGTCTTAATGGCTTTGTTACCATGTCTTGAATTAACTATCCCAAAACCTTAAGCTTTAGAATGAAAGCGCTTGTTATATCTAACGACTTTGAAAAGTCAATTGCATAATGATAAATTTGTTCATAGAGGTCTTGATTATACAGATGTTAGTTTTTCACCTCATTGTTAAAACTTGTTGCAGTACATGGGATGAAATGGGTCCTTTACAGGATGTCTTTGGAAAGTTAACATCTGTACTGTTACTTTTTCGATACTTTCTAGTGTAAATAAAATTTTTTTTTGAAACTGAAGAGGTCTTGTCTTCTGTTTTTATTGGTTTACCGATTTCATTTTCTTTTGCAGAACTTGAATTATAACTATAAAGTTATTACTATCTATGTGCGTTGAATGGATAATATAACTCTTTGTGATCTGGTTTGATTGTTTTTATGGTTGATACTAGAAATTGTCTAGCATGGTCGAAGATTGGATTTCTCAAGCAAATGCAAGGCAGCGCCGAGGTAGAGCCGGACGTGTTAAACCTGGAATTTGCTTTTGCTTGTACACTCGTCATAGATTTGAAAGACTCATGCGTCCTTATCAGGTATATATTTTGAAAGGATATCCTTAAAAGGTAAGGTGGTGTTTGGTTTGTATTTGATTTCATTTTTAGTTGATATTTTTTCACTAATAATTGTTAAAGTTCTACCTTGTTTTCGTATTGTTTCCTGTTTTCATGACTTCCAGAAGGAAATACTGAAAACAAGTGTTGATTTATGTTTTTTATTTCCATCCTTCTAATTTACTTATCAAGGTTATATTCTTTTTATCAAGGTTCCGGAGATGCTTCGGATGCCATTAGTTGAATTGTGTCTGCAGATTAAGTTACTGTCTCTTGGTTATATCAAGCCATTTTTGTCTGAGGTAAACAACTATATTTTAGGATTAAAAAAATGTTCTCTGATCAGATTGCCAGGACAGTTTTCTTTAATATCTTTCCATTATCAGGCTTTAGAACCTCCCAAGGTTGAAGCAATGAGTTCGGCGATATCTTTATTGTATGAGGTATTTTGTAGTCCTTTTTACTTTCACTGATTTCAAAGTACGAGTTATTGTGGATTTTGATTTTCTATAAATGTGGTTTTCTTTAATTTATAGAAAGTATAGGTTTGATTTTGATCCCCATTTTGATAAATTCTGCTGAATGTTGAATTCGACGTAGGGTATTTAATATAATTTTCTAATGCTGTTGCTATCTACAGAGGAATAGCAAAATTATCAAGCACCCTGTTCTAGCACCTTATTTAATTTGGAACATGTTTATTCATTTTGCTTGTTTTAGTTTTGGAATTTGGTTTCTATTTGTTGTAGTGGTCTTCAGATAATTGAAGGATTTTAATGTATTGAGATCCTTATTTCTTATTTCTATTTATTTTGCTGTGACATTTTCATACTTCATTCATATTTCTTTTCTCATCTTGGTATCTTTCTCCAAAAACAAATCTACCAGTCCTATGAGTTATGTGTGTGAAAATACATTCTTGTATAATCACTGTAAAGAACTTTAGGATACACCACCCCAAAAGCTAACTCTGTTAAGTCAGCATGGAAAAAAACATTCCTGTTCAGGCCCCAACATTTTTCGTCGCTGCTCTGTTAAGTCAGCATGGACTAGAACATTCCTGTTCAGGCCCCAACATTTTTCGTCGCCGTTGAGATCCAGCCCCTTTTTTCTAAGGCAGCTGGTCCAGCATACCCTCTTAATGTTGTTGTGGGCTATATCAACGTATGACCCAACCCCTCCATACTCCACTTGATGGAGAGACACAGGCTATATATATAAGTGCACCAAACCAAGTACTGTTCCATCACCTTAATTGGCTAGGAGGCGGGTTGAGTACTTGAACCCCGTACTCGGTTGAGGGGGAGCATATCAATATTGGGTTTCACACTTGACGGGGAGATTGTTGAGATATTCAAGTGTGATGAGTCTCACATTGGTTGGTAATGGGCTAAGTGAAGAGTATATAAGTGGAAGGACCCATGAACCCAAAGCCTTAAGGTTTTGCGTTTGATTGTGGTGTTCCGAGCCCACTTAATGTTGCTGCTCACTTGGCCCATGGTTAGCGGTTTCTCCCCACCATGAGCTCCCCGTGCACGGCCCAACAATTGGTATCAAAGCTAATGGTGGATTGGCCTGTGGTGATCCGAGTATGTCTTGATGTGGGAAGCCAAGGTCTTGACGAGTGCAACCAAGCCTTGATGAAAGAGTCAATGTTTGATGAGAAGCCAAGCATTGATGAACCCCATGAATACTCGAAGAAGCTTCTCCTTGAAGGGAAAGAATATGTAGGCCTTGGACTCACACTTGAGGGGGAGATGTTGAGAAATCCAAGTGCGAATGATTGAGTGAGAAAATCCCACATTGGTTAAGAATGAACTAAGTGAGCAACTAATGTGGAGTTTATAAGGCTTTGGGCACTCCCACCCTTTGAGCTAGCTTTTAGGGTGGTGTATCCCAAGATTCTTTATATGGTATCAGAGCCTTTGTGTCCCGGGTTCAAACATTGCCGCCCCTCACTTTCTCTTTGTGGAATTTCTTAGCACAGGTAGGCTGGGCCTGTTGCATCATCCACTCTACAAGTCCAATGGGCTCTCGTGTAAGGGGGCGTGTTGAGATATATAGTCCCACATTGCTTGTATAAGCAACTAATATAGAGTTTATAAGGCCTTGGGCACTCTCACCCTTAGAGCTAGCTTTTGGGGTGGTGTATCCTAAGGTTCTTTACAATCACTAACATATTTTTTGTCACACCTCCAAATTTCTAACAATTTTTATAAATATTTTTGTAATAATATATTTGCCAAAATTCACATTTTATTATTTATTAAGATCTTATAAATACTGTGGAAACTAATTTGGGGAAATGTTACTACTGCACATGTAACAATGACAAGTGCAGGGCTAATTTTATTACATTCATATATTAAAATAAAACCAGAGACTAAGATTTAACTCAAAATATGTCTTATACATTAAATCTCATAAAATTCTAAAATTTATGACAAGCTAGAAATATCTGAGACGTCACCCTCACTGCCCATTGCTAGCCCAACTTTTGCAACCTGCTTCACTGAAAAACCTGCTCCCTCGACGGATCATTGCAGCACAAACACAAAGACAAACAATCAGCGAAAGCTGGTAATCCCAATCCAAAACACAACGAGGATAGTCATAAGTTAATCAATAATTATAATAAACTCAAACATCAATCAAAACATTTTATTTAGAATAGTTATAACTCAATAAATCAGCACAATCAACTCAATGATGTTTTATTAAGGATAATCATAAATTATTCAATTAACATATTTAGCTTAACATCAATCATAATATTACATAAATAATAATCACAACTCAAATATTCATTATAATCAAATCAAGTATCAAATTTCATTATTCATCATATTTATCTTTATTAAGTTCAATTAGTGAATTTAGTGGGGAGAGAACCATGGTAGACTCAGGAAATCCTATTGCCAGCCACGTATAATCAAAATTGGCCATCAAAATATCAAATCCTAGTGTGCACACCTCTTCCCAAAGTTGCTACTAGTACTCCGGGAAACCTTGTTGCCATATATCACTTTGGGAAGAACGGATAACATCGTTTTCACATATGTAACATCGGAGGCATAAAACCCAAAGGTTGTGTTCAACACTTTCAGGAGGTACCATCCGAAAAGCTATTTTCCCACCATTATTTTATTACAATCAATATCATTTAATCTTGTCCCAATTCTCATAATTGGAAAATTTCCTCAAAGAGTATTATATTTTCTAGATCAAGTGCTCAAGGTATCATAATTCTAATATTCAACATCCATTTAGAGTAAGGCCCCAATCATATCCATTATCCATTATTACAATTTTCCGATTTATTCTAGAATATCATAATTCAAATATCCAACATCTATTAGAGTAAAGCCCAAATACAATCATCATATCAATTATCCATTACATATAATCCAATCATCAATACACATAATCCAATCATCATATCAATTATTCATTAATTCCGGGTATCAAAATCATAATTTCCACAATTATTCAATAAGATCCATATCGCACATAATCAATTTTCCATCATTTTAATAAAGGTAAAATGTATACTATATATAATCCGTTATCTAACACCATCAAAGCATTAAGATTGTTCGCGAAATAATTATATGATTAATCCTATTATTTTCTAGGGGTTAAAGCCCAATAAAATTCATAATAATATTCATATATAATTACCCTACGATTAACTAAAGGTTAGGATTATATATAATTGTAAGAACTAATTCAATCCAAAAGCTTAAGCTGTTAAGTGAAGGCCCATCAATGGTTTATTTATATACTTCTCTAACACGTCCCTTCACACGAGAGCCCACTGAGCTTGAAGGGTGGACAATGCACAGGCCCACCTACCTGTGCTAAGAAATTCCATAAGAGAAAGTTGGAGGCGATGAGGATAGAACTCGTGACACCGAGGCTCTGATACCATATAAGAACCAAGTCAATCCAAAAGCTTAAGCTGTTAAGTGAATGCCCATCAATGGTTTATTTATATACATCTCTAACAATAATAAATTTCATATAAAACTAATCTATTATTTCCTAAACTATGATGCCCTAAGGATCAAGCATTATATATAAAAATCTTCAAATAAAACTAACTTATGATACGCTAAAGATCAGAATCACACTATCAAAATTCATATAAAATTAACCTATCTATAGGGATTAGGATTACATGTAATAGATTACTCCCTATAGAACAGGATTATAAAAAGTTTCTATAAAGTTAATTTATGGTTACCTAAAAATTTGGATTAGGTCAAACAATAGAATTCGAAAAGGGTTGGGAATGAGAAGGAAAAGGAGAAGAGAAGAAGGGAAATGGAGAGATGTAAGGAACCTGAGAGAATATGGAAGTGATTTGGTTTGGTTAGGTTAGGTTAGGTTAAGCTCCTATTTATAGCTGAAGTTTTTTAACTGAGGCATTAATTACGGTAATACTAGTCATCATACTTATTTCAATTATTAAAACGGTAGGTAATATCATGGTCATCATAATTACTTTAATTATCATTAATATATCTTAACGGTTACAAAATTAAATGGAAGTAATTGTTTACATTTCCAATTAAATGTTAACCAACACTACTAACATTCGATGACAACCAAAATATATCAATGCCTATAACACCATTTTATACTAAACCCAACATATCTAACATGATACAATGATACTCGTAAGGATATACACTATTTTTATTATTATTATTATTAATTTTATTATTACTATTTTTCTTGGGATATTACATTTTTGGAACTATATGATTGATAAAAGTGTTCTCTGATCTTTGTATATGTTTGCTTTCAATGAAACAAAAATGTTGTAGGTCGGTGCTCTTGAAGGGGACGAAGAGTTGACACCTCTTGGGTATCATCTGGCAAAACTTCCTGTTGATGTATTAATTGGAAAGGTGTACACTAAACTATTATTTCCTCCTATCTTCAAAGGACTTAATTGATCTTTTGATTTTTAACGCTGTTGCTTTATCTCTCAAGAATTTTTCGAATTTTATATGATGCTTGTCCTTTATTTCTACAATTCAAGGTTATTTAACCTAAATTTGAAACCGTAATTTTGTCTATAATTTATTTCTTTTGATCAGATATGGCCAATTTTTTAACCATTACTTTCACCTTAACTATTCCTGTATTAATTGGAAAGGTGTACACCTCATTCTTCTTTCTTATTATCTTCAATGGATTAAATTGAACATTTGATTTTCAATGCTGATGTTGTATCTCAAGAATTTCTTCATTTTTATTTGGTGCTTGTCTTTTTATTTCCATAATTCAAGGTTCTTCACCTAAATTTAAAATAGTCGAATTAAAAAATACTGAATATTATTTCTGAATTGTTCTGTACATTTTAATTGTAGTATATAGACCTAACTAAATAATTACTTTCCTAATATAATAATTGAAGTATGCCAAGAAAATATTTCACAATAATTACAATGATTTATGGAGAATATTATGTGGTGAAGTCATACTTGTCAGTAGCAGTTAGCGGTCGACCCCTGAAAATGGTATAGCGGATAGCGGTATTGCCACTACGGTGAAGTATTAATTCCACACATATTATACTAACAATATAATACTACACAAATATAAATGCTAAAACATAAAAAGTCATACAAAATCAAACACATAATTCCACAATCAATGTCAAATACAAGAAACATAAAGGAAGGATCCAAGATTAAATACAAATGAACAATGAAATTGTCAAAAATAGTCAAATACAAGATGTGAACTAATGAAGAAAATCATCATCTCCGGATTCTCCATCAAATTCCAACATGGGAATGGTATAGCGGTGTAGCGGATAGCGGTATTGTCGCTACGCTACGTTGCTACCTTCCGCTACCGGTCAGCGTCGCGGTTGTAGTGGCTGGCCGGCGCTACCTGCTACGGTAGCGGTTTAGCGGCGCTACGGGCCGCTGCTGACAACCTAGGGTGAAGTTGAACTCCTATCAATAACTGGATCCTACAAACTGCCAGGTATAGCTTTAAGGTGCTGTATGATCCTCTACACTGCTTGTAGGTGTCTCACTCTCGGGTCATATATGGCTAATGATAATGATCGCAGGGTATTACACATAAGTGTGGGGGGAATGTAATAACTTATAGAAGCAAGAAACAAAACTGTTGTTGCGAGTAATGTTGAAGCAGAATATAGGGCAATTACTCAAGGAGTTTGTGAATTTATTTGGATAAATAAGTTACTGAAATATCTATTTATTCCACTTGATGGTTCTATGAAAATGTACAGTGATAGCAAGTCAGCTATTAGCATAATTCTCATTCATTACGATTTACGATCATGTGAGGTTGACATAAATTTTATCAAATCAGAAATTGATAATGGAACTTTCAGCCTACTTTATGTGCCAACCAAGCCACAAGAAGCTGATATGCTTACAAAATCCTTGTTGAATTTGATTTGAATTTTGTGTCAGCAAGTTTGGAATGATTAACATCTATTTACCATCTTGGGGGAGTGATGGAATTTGAAATTAAAATCCTAAGGATTAAGGATTTGTTAATCCTGCAATCATGAGATTATGTTTTGTAAATTTATTTCCTTTTCTATTTTTGGTAGCTTTTTGTCTATATGCTGAAGTTTAGGTGGTGGTGTTATATTTTTTCTATCGACAGCTTGCTGTATATGTTGTAACCTTTGTCATGAATGAGAATAAAACACAGTAAGTTGTATTCGACACCTCCGTTTTCATGTTCCTATAAGATGTTTATTATGCCCATCGAATTCTGCCGAAATAAGGTGCTGTTCTCCGTGTTACTTGTCCTTGCTTCTGGTAAATGTTATGCTGTATATCTTGTTTATTGAAAACAAGGTCCTGTCTGTGTCCATTTCCTTCCTACTCTGCTCTGCATTGCTGTTGAATATAATGTGAATATATAAATCACTATGAACCACCTGCTAATGATATTCTGTTTCTGTATTTGCAGATGATGCTGTATGGTGCAATATTTGGTTGCTTGTCCCCTATTCTTTCAGTTTCTGCATTTCTAAGTTACAAGTCTCCGTTTGTGTATCCAAAGGATGAGGTCCTCTCTCAGTGCTTTGATAAAAAAATTAACTTCTTTTCTTGTTTATATTAGATTTTGACTTAACTGTTGTATTGATCTTCAGAGGCAAAATGTTGAAAGAGCAAAATTAAAATTGTTGAATGATAAGCTAGATGGGCCTGGCGACACAAATGATTTTGATCGGCAATCTGATCACTTACTAATGATGACAGCTTATACAAGATGGGAGAGGATCTTGACTGAGGTCAGTGTTTGATTGTAATTTGTTTTTTTATGCATGCTCTCAATATATTTAGGCACAAGCCGCTGCTTAATAGGGAGAATATGGTTTGGAGGGGGATACGACTTCTATTAAAGTGTATGCTAGGAAGCATTATAGTAGATTATGGTTGAATGATGACTCAGCTATTTAGAATATTCCAGAGAATGAGTTTGTTAGAAGAGAGAAGAAAGTTGGTTGCTGAGGTGGCTAAGTGGTTTGAAGGAATAAAAGGCATGGGAAGGCATGAGAAATAGGGAGGTTGGATTTGGAATTGGGCTTGGGAGAGAGCACACGCCTCGAAAGTGTTGCACCCTTGGCTCGCTGTTCACGTTCTTCTTTTCTTACACAATTTGTAGCTATTTTCATTGTAGTAGTTTTCTCTTCTATATTTTGTTTCTGCCTCATTTCCTTACTGTAACTTGTTTCTTCTTCAATATATTAGAAAATCCAGATCGTTCTGGGCCAAAAATGTCTCTTGTTTGCTTTTGTTGTTTGATTATTTGATTCGGTTCTATAAATTGGTATCAGAGCTCTCCGATACAAGAGGGCTTTGAACCACACCAATAAGAAAGAGAGAAAAAAAAACCACTCCCCAATTTTATTTTATTTTAATTAGAAAAAAAAATGAGAAATCAATTTTATAAAATGAAGATTCCTATATTTTCTGGGAAGAAGAAGCTTGGAGATGGTTGATTCAAGTTGAGAAGTACTTCAAGGCAAAGGGACTTCCGGATACTGAAAAGCCATCAGAAGCTAGGAAGGCGTTCACCAGTCAAGCTTGAATCTGGTATCGATACTGGTATAATCCAAAAGTTAGTTGGTGGACGTTTTTAAAAGCTTTCAAGGAATTTCAACCTTGCTTGGTAGATGATGAAGCAGAACCGGAATTTCTAGAACCAGAAACAAAGATGCAAAAGGAGGAGTACTAAAGGTGATGAAAAGGATAACGAGGTGGTTTGAGGAGCCCTTAGATATGCAAAACCAGTATTTGCAAGATTAGATATGAAGGTGCAAAACAAATTTCTACCGGAGAAGGTGGAAAACTATGGTGGTTCAATAGAAAGCTTTCGGGAGTTGAAGGGAATCGAAGGAGTTGTACGATGCGCAAAAAAAAAGAAGAATTCGCATAAGCAAACATAGAAGAAAAAAAGATCAAGAAAATTCATGAAGTCACAGATGAGGGAGATATTTCAACGAGGAAGACGCAAGAACAATCGAAGCCACAACCAATAGAGGAGGTGGAGCATCCACCACCATCACCCAAACTATAACAACCCTCACAAGCAAGTTTTGCTAATTAAGGAATTTAGTAAATAATTGAGAATTAAGTATGTGGTCAAGGAGGTAGTGTCTAGTTAATCATGTAATTAACATGATTATAAATATGAGTATATAATTCATATCTAACAAGTCAACTAAGACCTGAATGAGAGCATGAAATAGGTGTAGGGACATAGATGTCAATTTAGTGAAAGTTAAGGGTAAATTGGCAAAAACATAGTCTAAACTTAATTCTGACAGTCTAGTTAAATTGTGTGGGCAATTTCATTAATTTTAAGTGGTATAAAGGTATATTAATTATGAGTAGAATAATTATTAAAAATAAGTAAAAGTTAGATAAAATAAGAATAAGTAGAGTAAATTTCTATTGAAAATAAAATGGTGTAATGTTTAAGTTTCTCTAGGAACCATACTTGTTAGTAGAGCTGTCAAATAGGGCCGTGGCCCGTGGGACAATCCATTTAGCCCTGCATCTAGCCCTATCAAACTTCAGCCCCATATGTTGGGGGCCTTTTTCAGCCCCAGCCCTATATAGCCCCATCATTTATTGGGTAGGGTTGGGCTAGCCCGCGGGCAGCCCCACATGAATTAGGTTTCTTTCACTTTTATTCCATTCTTCTGCCGCCTGTCTCTTTGTTACACCCACACTTCCATTATTCCAGACCTGGTTCCAAGATGCAACCATGGCTGACTTCCCCAACTGCGCCGTCAATACCGCCACCGGCCAGAGTCGCCAACCCCCCGCCGCCGCAACTCCATTGCCACCACATCCATGGTGGCATCCAACAAACGCCACCCTCCTAGCAACGCCCCCTTCTCCTCCTACACATCCCTTAGAGACATGCTCCCTTCCCCCAACGCCGCCACTTCCCCCGCCGCCTGCGTCATCAACCCCGACTCCGAGATCCCCATCCGCAACCACCTCGTTAAGCAAGCTGTTTGGGTTTATCTAATTTATTTTATATATAAATTTTATTTTATAAATTTATTTAAATTGAGGATAAAATAAATTTATATGTGAGTCGATAATTTTCATCCTAAAAATCTTCTTTTTCGATGTGAGTCGATAATTTACAAGAGCGACATGAATAACAACTAATATTCTTATTGAAAAAAGTGCAAGGCAATTTATTAAACCAAATTTCTATGTTCAGTTTTGATTTGCGCTGATTATTATTTGAGTTTTTTTTTTTTTTGGATATTAGGGAAATCAAAACAATTTGAGGTTTTGTTTAAATTAGATAAATTCAGTGCAAACTGTTTTTTAATATATCTATTTGAAAGTTGAAAAATACTAGACAATATTTCTTAATCTTTTAATTAATTATTTTTTGGCCTGCGGGCTGTCCCTAATCCATGGGGCCATATAGGTTTTTTGGCCCGTTTGGGCTCTTGTGTTTGTGGGCTTTTTGGCCCTACGGGCCTTTTGGCCCTAGCCCGCGTGGGTTAGGGCTTAACGGGCCGGGGTGGCCCGTTTTGACAGCTCTACTTGTTAGCCAAGTTACCTTACTTGCATACCAAGTTTCCATGTTACTTGTTCAACAAGTTAGTGTGTTACTTGTTCACCAAGTTTGTAAGTTGGTTGAACACCAAGGTTGAGTGTTTCTTGCTCATCAAGTTATGTTACTTCCTCATCAAGTTAAGTTTCTTGTTCACCAAGTTACCATTACTTGCTCACCAAGGTACTTGTCTTGTTCTCCAAGTTTCATTACTTGGTCTCCAAGTTTGCCATTACTTGTTCATTAAGTTATCAAGTTAGCTTCAACATCACACTACACCTACTGGCATGGTTGTCAAACTCGAGATTCTATGCAAACTCGGAAGTGTCAACCAAAATCGTAAATCGCAGAATCGTAAGACGGATCGTAGACTCGTAACACAAGATACAAATTATATTTATATATATTTATATGCATATAAAGTAATATAATAAGCAAATTTAATTCAACCAACTAGCAAAATAATGTCATACAATAGTCATAATCACATAATGTCTCAGACACATAAAGTCATAGCACAAAAGATCAAAATCCAAAACAATATATCAATCAAATCTCAAAGGAATGATGGAATGTCATAATCATCCTCTGCCCATCATCTTCATCACCATCTTCATTATTTCCTTCATCATCATCTTCATCTTCATCTCCATCATCTTGCATGATGTCTTCTCCAATCAAAAAATATCCATGCTGATTTGTTTTGGATATTCAAAAAAAAAAAAAATCTGATTTGGTTTAGTTTACGGTTTATCACACAGAACAGAAGCCAATCAAAATTAATTTGTTTTTGTTATAAAAAAAAATTTAATTTGTTTTATAAAAGAAAATGATTTTACTTTATAAAATAAAATGATTTTGTTTTATAAAATAAAATGAAATGATTTTGTTTTAAATAATAAAATAAAATGATTTTGTTTTATATAATAAAATAAAATGATTTATAAATAAAACAAATAAAACAAAGAAGACTGTAGAAGAGATCGAGACAACAGAGGCGAGCTCGAGACAAAAAAAACAAGAGATTGAGAATTTGAGACGGAGCAGAGCGAGTAAAGGCAGATCGTGACTCGTAACAGTGTTGCTGAAGCGTAAACTCGTTCGATTATACAAGTAAACGCGCGAGTTTGACAACCATGCCTACTGGGCCACCAAGTCCCATTTTGGCTTCCTCATCAAGATACCTTGACTTGGTCCTTAAGTCACCTTTACTTGATCATCAAGTCTCGTAGCTTGATTTTGAACGCGACTTGATGATTTTTTCTCCCTTTCTCCCTCTTTCATTTTGACTTCCATTATGTGGAAGCGCTTGAAACAATTCTTGGATGCGAGAGTGCCGTAGAAGGGTAGATCGGGAAGTTCTAAGTCAAAAAGTTGTCCTCTTGATCTAAAATGTCGTGCGGCTAATGACCAGAAAAGATGGGGAACTACACAAGAGTCAACTTGTATTAGCTTTATAAATAGAGCAGCACTTGTATTGTTTTACTCACTCTTTGGATAAATCAATGGATTCTCACTTTCTCTTAGATTTTCTCTCCTTTTCTCCCTCTTTCATTTTGACTTTCGTTATGTGGAAGCGCTTGAAACAATTCTTGGACGCGAGAGTGCCGTAGAAGGGTAGATCGGGAAGTTCCAACTCATAAGGTTGTCCTCTTGATAAAAAATGTTCCTAGAAAAAATGTCTGGTGGCGGCTAGCCACCGGAAAAGATCGGGAACTGCGCAAGAGGATTCACACTAATGGCAAGGGCTACGGAAGCAAAAGGCTCCCAAATCGAGAGCTATGATGCCAACTTGAAAGGAGAAAAACTGAAATATTATTTCTCAAGAGAACATATAAAAAAGGGTACAAGTCATATTGTGAGACTAATGGGCCCAATGGGCCGAAGTGGTAATAAACCCAAATCCTCAAAATAGAGAAATAAAGAATATATAATAAGTACAAATATTTACTACAAACTGTCATATTTGCATTGCTTATTTCGTAGTATGGTGTTCTTTCAGATAATCATAGTTTTAATCGCATTGTAATTTTAAATTTGCAGAAAGGAGCTAAAGCTGCACACCAGTTCTGTAATTCATTTTTTTTGAGCAGCTCTGTAATGTTTATGATAAGGTATTCTATCTTTTTATTTGTATCTCGTTCAATAGACTAAAGAGCTCTTTCGTTTATACGTTTTCTACTACTATATTCACCCATCTTTCTTTTTTTCCTTTTCGGAGGATAGTTCAGCTACCTCTCAGTATTCTTTCTTGTCTTTTTTCTTAACGAATCTTCTTTATATTTCCTCCATTATGTTATTTGCTGTGAAGCTTCCTTAGGGCATCTTTCCTTTAGGAATTCTACTCCATTAAAGCAGAGGGGCAGTGTGTCATTGCTAAGAATAAGTGAAAAGGACTGTGTTCCAACTACACCATAATTGTATATATAGAATGAATGTAATAATTACAACGATACAATTCATCATATTCACATGGTACAAAGAACAAGACAATTGCATCCTAATACATGTATCCTACACTTCCGCTCAAGTGTGCACCAAGCTTGTTACAAAGATAACTTATCCGAGGACCTCTCAGATTTGGTGGGATCAATGGTTGGTTGACCATTTGAATTGACAAAGCTAGTGGTGATGTCTTTAAGTGAAATCTTTGGTGTCAAAGAGGAGGAGGATGCTTGAATCAAATAACCTATTAGGAAGAGAAAAGAACTTCAATATGTAGATTTGTTACAGCGATCAAGTGAATATCATTACCAATTTTTTGGAAATTTGAAGGAAAAAAAGAAAAGCCTATAATGGATCTTTTTGCATAGAGATTTAACTTATTACATGGGATGCTAATTTTCTAAATGCTAGCTCTTGCATGGATTTTCTAAGTTCTGTAAATGTTAATTATCTTGTATTTTGTCTATGTTCTATAAGTCATGGATTAATTATATTTAGTATCTTTGTTGGAAATAAAAAGAGGGCAAGCCTGGAGCAGTGGTAAAGTGGTTCCTTTGTGACCGAAATGTCCACGGGTTTGATTCCGGAAAACAGTCTATTTGCAAATATGCAAGGTAACACTGCATCCAAGGATTGCCCTCATCCCTACCCTCGCTAGTCGGGATTTAATGGGAGTGGTTATCTTTGCTGGAAATACCATCAGATATTGCCTACAGGAACTTTAAAGTACTAAATAGAAACTCATCCAATTGTGTGCCTTTTTTAATGTTGTGGTGATTGTTTATTGGGAATTGTATTTTATGCGACAATCTTCATATAGCTCAATGCAACAATAAAAAAATGGGTGAGGTCAGATATCCTTAACGCAGGTTGAGTTTGATATGCAATGGCCACAAGTAATTCAGACAATCTAATCCAATGACAGTAATTGGTTCCCATCTAAACGAAGGAAAAAGGGTACTAGGATTGTTCTTTTATATGATTAAGTTATTAAGAAAATATTATTAAGTAGTTTTTTGTATTAGACTCAAAGTAAAGGGTATATATTATGTAACTGCAGTATAGGTATAAGTACTTGTTTAGGGTCCGTATGACATGCACTTTGGCAAATCTGTTAGTCAATACATCTGTGTTGTTCAACTTTCTCTTTATCAATTTCACTCTCCCTTGTTTTTTTCTTAAATTGATTTTTGGGTTTATCATTCTGCAGATAAATGACAGCTTTTCTCTAACAATTTCTAATATTGGGTTTAAACCCATCTTCTTTAATCTGCCTTGTAAAGTATAGAAAACGGAATGAAATTAATAGAACAAATGCCTCCAACTATTATACCGCCGTACCCTCAAGGAAATAGATAGAAATTTTATATTTACGGACAAATATTAGATCTGGATCTTCCAACGCTTCCTGCTAATATATGTTAAGCACATATCAGAAGGCATGTTAATCCAGTCTTCTGCCTGTAATTTATATTTTTGTATCAACTCTTATTGAGTATCTCGTGTATATGATGATGTGTCAGGGAGATGAGGATGCAGTTTGGAACTTTGCTAGCAGACATTGGTCTCATCAGTCTTCCTAAAGATTATAAGGTATGCAGCCATTTTTATTCTTGACTTTTAAGTCATGTCAGATTACTGCTGACTATTGAGCTCACTTGTAATTTTGTGATAAAGGTTACATTGAGGGACAGAATGTAGATTCAAATTTTTTTCCGAGGATTAATTCATTTCTGTGCATGCAGTAAACAAGTTATCTCTACAATTATAATTGATAAGCTTGTACTCTGGTCTATCTGTTCTCTTAGTGCACGCTCAGCCGCACATGGCAGAGCGTGGATCCCTGTTTCCAGCCGCTACCGGTTGTGCCATGCTCTCCCACGTCTACTCTCCGGAGTCAGTGTTTCCATCTTTGACCTGCACTCTGTTTGTGTTCGCCGGCGCTTTCCTCTTCTGCTTAGGGAGCCCATGGCCTCCTCTCCTTAGATCTGGTCATATCCTGCCTTTCTCTCTGTTGCTAAGTGTGATCCATGGCTGGATTTTGCCCCCCAAAGGCTTCAAAAGATGTTCCAAAGCTTGAGCCCACAGTTTTCACTGAGCCAGTGCCCCTCTCTCCACTAACAAGTTGGATGGTAGCAGCCCTTGGGTCTCTGATATCAAACTTTGGCTTAGCAGTCAAGAATATGTGAACCACCTCACTAGTCACTAGTACAGCCAATCTAGTAAGTGAACCAAAGTCTATACTATCTACAATACAACCTGTAAGTAGTTAAGGGACAAAGTATTAAAAGTACTAGAAGATATTACTATATCTCTAATACGGTGCCTACACATGACCAATCCCGATGGGATAAGATTGAAGCCCAACTGTAAAATTGATGCTCTTTCCATCTTCATCATTGGTCTCTTACTTGGAGTTATCTAGTAATCTTTTTCTTGTGAGATGACATCTCTCTTTCCTTTGTTTCTAGCTTTGTCAACATCAACATCAATATCAATAGCACATTTAACCCAAGCTAATTGGGGTCGGTAGTAGATGAACCCAATGATAAATAAGAAGAGATTAAAAAATAAAATAATAAATAAATAAAAATTGGGGAAGGGGGAAATAAGATAAAAGACAAGAAGGGGAAAAGAAAGAGAGGGGGATTGAAGAGGAAAAGGACTAAAAAGAGACCATCTGGAACATAAGAATAACAAGTTTAACCTTCCACACTGCTTATAGCTTTTCTCCATTCCGTCCTTAGACACACCGTCCGCCAATCTATATCTCACTCTATTAAATCTTGTTTAACTACCTTTCCCCAGCTAAGTTTCAGTCTACCTCTACCTCTCTTTGTGTCGAGCTCTTGGTAACAAACTTTTGTTCTTACAGGAGCATCCAGGGGCTGTCTCATTATGTGCCCAAACCACCTCAATCTATGTTCCCTCATATTTTCAGTTACCGGTACTACTTCTACCTTTCGTCGAATATCTTCATTTCTTATCTTATCCATCCTCGTATAACCACACATTCACCTTAGCATCCTCATTTCTGCTACTCCCATTTTATGCTTGTGTTGCCTGCTGGCCAACATTCAGCTCCATATAACATTGCAGGCCTTACTGCTGTCTAATAGAATTTTCCTTTTAGCTTAAGGGAAATTTTGCTGTCACACAAAAACCCATATGCACTCCGTCATTTCATCCATCCTGCTCTGATTCTATGATTTATATCCTTATCAATCTCACCACTTTTTTGCAAAATTGATCCTAGGTATCTAAAAGCCTCTTTCTTGGGTACCTCTTGACCAAGCAGATGCACGGAGTCTTGATCTCCATCTCTTACCAGAGAAAACTCACACTTCATATACCCAGTCTTGCTCCAGCTTAACGTGAAACCTTTAGACTCCAAAGTGCTTCTCCACAATTCAAGTTTCCTATTAACACTGTCTTTGGTCTCATCAATAAGAACAATATCATCTGCAAAAAGCATACACCACGGCACTTCCTCTTGAATGTCTTTTGTTAGTTCATCCATCACTAAGGCAAAGAGATAAGGACTCAGAGCCGAATCTTGGTGTACACCTACTGTAATAGGAAAATAACTTGATGTTCCATTACAAGCTTTCACATATTTAGTAGCCCCATCATACATATCCTTGATTGCATTTACATACTTTGATGGCACTTTTTTCTTCTCAAGAACCCACCATAAAACTTTTCTTGGGACCCTATCGTATGCTTTCTCAAGATATATGAACACCATATGTAAATCCTTCTTTTTTTCTCGATATCTTCCCATCAATTGATGCATCAAGAAAATAGTTTCTGTGGCACATCTTCCTAGCATAAATCCAAATTAATTTACAGAAACCTTGGTCTCTCTCCTCAAACGATGTTCATTAACTCTCCCACAACTTCGTAGCATGGCTCATAAGCTTAATGTCTCTATAGTTAGAACAATTCTGGATATCTCCCTTATTTTTTTAAATAGGCACAAGCACAGTCTTCCTCCAAGCATCAGACATCTTATTTGTTTGAAGAATCTTATTGAAAAGATTGGTCAGCCATTTTATTGCCACATCCCCCATGCCCCTCCACACTTCAATTGGTACGCCATCAGGTCCCAAAGCTTTATTAGTCTTCATCCTCTTTAAAGCCTCCTTGACTTCATGTGTATTGATTCTGCATACAAATCTTCTATTCAGATCATCATAAGCATCCTCAAATCCCACTTTGCTTTTATCGCCATCCCATTAAAAAGTTTGTTAAAGTAATTCATCCATCTTTCATTTACATCTTCATCTCTTACCAAAAGTTTTTGGCTTTCATCCTTGATACATCTAACTTAGGTAAGGTCTTTACTTTTCTTATCCCTCATTTTTACAAGTACATGTATACATTTTTCACCATCCTTGCTCCCAAGATTTTTATACATATCGGCGAAAACCTTACCTCTAGTTTCTCGCACTGCTTTCTTTGCATTTTTTTTCGCCAATCTAAACTTTTGCAAATTATTATCATTAGGACTTTTTTGCAAAGATCTAAAGCATTCCTTTTTCAGTTTAATTGGCTCTTGCACCTCTCCATTCCACCACCATGTTTCCTTTGTATGGAATCCAATTCCTTTGCTTTCTCCTAGCACCATCTTTCCCACATTTTGGATACATATAGCCATCTCATTCCATATTTCATTAGCTCCTCCAACAAACTCCCATGGTCCTTCATGCAATATTCTTTCTATGAACTCTAATTGTTTTTCCTCCTTTAGCTTCCACCATCTTATCCTTGGGTTCTGAGTCCTCTTCCTTATTTTAAGTATTTTGTTGAACCAAACCTCTAGAACTACCAGCTTATGTTGCGTAGCGAAGACTTTGCAGTCGACACAAGAATTTCTATCTTCTCTTCTAGCCATGAAGAAATCAATTTGACTGCGATTTTGGCCACTATGATAAGTGATAAGATGTGACTCCCTTTTCTGGAAAAAGGTGTTAGCTAGCATCAAATCGTAGGCTAGTGTAATGTTCAAGATATCTTCTCCAGTCTCATTTCTCGTCACATAGCCAAAACCTCCATGAATTCTATCAAAACCTCCATTGCTTGGAAGGGCAAGAAACAACATGTTGTTGCTCGATCTAGTGCAGAAGCTCAGTATCGTGCAATGGAAATTGTTACCTATGATCTAATCTGGTTAAAGCAGTTGATTCAGGAGCTTCATCTTTGTGAAGAGAAACAATCCATGACACTCATTTGTGACAATCAAGTTGCACTATATATATATCATCTAATCCTGTATTTCATGAGAACCAAACATATAGAGATTAATTGTCACTTCATTCGAGAAAAGATTCAGTCAGGAGAAATCAAAACAACTTTTGGCAACTCCAATGATCAACTCGCGGATGTCTTCACTAAAGCTCTTAGAAGTCCTCGGGTTGAATACATTTGTAACAAGCTAGGTGCTCACAATATATACACACCAGCTTGAGGGGGAGTGTTAGAATAGGAAATATAATATATATAGATCTGTATAGATTGCATTCTTATTTGTAAATATTGTTTTCCTTATTTAGAATTTTGGTTAAGTCTGGGCTTCTCACTTAAGTCCATTAGGGTCTCTATATATTGTATATCTTTGTATCAGTTTAATACACAACATATTATTTTCATATTTCCATATTCAAGTATAATTCCAACACCATTTCGACTCTTGTTTATACCTGTGTCCCACAACTTGAAACCGGTACCATCCACTTCCTTGGCTTTTTCTCCAACCCACTTAGTTTCTTGCAAGCAAACAATATTCACTTTCCTTCTGGCAAAAACATCTGCTAGCTCCCTCAATTTATCCGTTAAGGTTCCTACGTTCTAGCTTCCCAATCGCATCCTTAACCCCTGGGCGGTGCTTGCCTGCCACGCTCGCCCATCTGCGTGTTGGGACCCTGACCTACTTTTCACCAAATCCGAGTGAAGACCTGGCTCCTTGCCTTGGGGCAAGGACCCTGACCCATTTTTCGCTGCATCTGAGGTCCGATGCAACGCATAGCTATAAATGGTACGCCTCAACGAAATATCATAAGGGTTCATCTCATAAATATAGCTGTTTTTTACGGCCTGCTCGCTACACCTGACGCCAACCCTCCTCCTTTATCCTGGTTTGGGACAGGCCATGCATGCAAGCACGCATAGGCGGAGTTTGGTTCTCTCTTTGTATTTGTAGAAAATGTCCTTAGTTGTTGGATTAAGTTTAGTAGTCATGTTAGACTTTCAACTCTTGATTAAAACTTCCAAACCATGTGAGGATTCAAATTTGATTGGAAGAGCCCCTTTTTGAGCTTTATTATTAAGATTTCCTAAATTGATGCTAAATCCTTAGGATTACACCTGAAAATTATAATAAAACCATAAATTACATAAGAAAGTTAAAAATAAATTTGAATAAAATCAGGGCAAACCCAGTGCACAAGGGCTCCTTTGCGAGGATATGGATGAGGCTTGATTGTATGCAATCTTTCCGTTGCTTTTCTGCAAAAAGGCTATTTTTTAGACTCGAATTTGTGATCTTTCGATCACAAAGGAACAATCTTACTGCATGCTCCAATCTTGCCCTCGTAGGGAAGATAAAAATGTTAAAAATTTATTAAAACTAACTAAAAATCAAATAGAAATCCTAAGAAATAAAGCACAAGTTGTGTGCAATTTCGCATCACATCAATTGGTGTTGAACTTTAGCTGAACTCTCTTAATTATAAGTTTCTTATGTGTATGTCTCCCATGTTAATTGAGTGTTATAGATAGTTTGTTATGTGAAAATGCTCTATTTGTAATTTGTTCTCATATAAATCTGGACTACTCAGATGGATGGAAAAAAGAGAGAGAATCTTGACAGTTGGCTTTCTGATGCGTCAAAATCATTCAATATACATGCACATCATCCATCAGTTCTGAAGGTAAGGTTTGGATATATTTTTGTTGTAACTTTTAGGCTATTCTTGCTTCTTTTTCTCCCAAGCTTTAAGCTGGTTTTTTGTACATTTTCTTCGGATTTCTTTACTTAAAATAGCTCATTCTGTACAATCTGATCTGTGAATCTCTCAATTTAGGCACTTTTTTCTGCTCTCCATATGTCATGTTTAATTCATGTTTTCGTTTTCATGACTTCGCAGTGTGCTGAGTGAGTCTATGCCTTCACTTTTTTTCTATCACGTTTGATAGTCAGTTTTTAAGCATACATTATGTGCAATTTATCATATTTTTTTTTAAATCTCTAAACTGAATCAATGCAAATATATCAAAGAGATTCTTTGTCACTAGAGATTGGAAGTATATTTCCATTTTTACCCTTCCAAATAAACACAAAATTTAAATCTGAACTTCAAACGTTAATTTGTAGCCTGCATTGAATGAGAGCAATTAAGCTAAGGGATAGAGATTACTAATCATTTTACCACTGAAGTGGAAGGCTAGGGCAGGGCCCAAGATTCTGCAAAATTGAAGCATGTTGCGTTTTCCAATTCTTCTTGTTTTTTTTTTTTTTTTACTTTTTATTGGGTCTAACCATGACAATCAGAATATTTATTTGGATTTCACCTTTACTGAAGCTATTTGTTGTGCTATCTGTACCCCATATCTAACAATAGGTATCGTAGTTCTTGTTGCATATCGTTTGAAATAGTAATCTATTTTTATTTTTTTTGGGAATTGCTAGTTGGCCATCACTTGTGTGTTACGTCAACATTTATATAATTTTTCCAGTACAGGGCTCAGTCCCTGTGCGGGGCCACTCACGTGTGCGAAACCCATCTTATTTACTGACCAATCCCTGTACAGGGATTAGAAGCGGTATAAAAGTGATGTGCAAATATCACCATCCATTCTTTTTTCATGCAAAGATCTCTGAGTGCCCTTGCAGGCTATACTATGTGCAGGTCTATACCCCAATGTAGCTGCTAGTGAACAAGGCATTGTTGCTGCACCTGTCAGCAGCCTTAAGCAGTCTTCGACTTCTACTAATACTGGTCGAACAGTCTGGTTTGATGGAAAAAGAGAAGTTCACATCCACCCATCTTCGATCAACAGTAATTCAAAAGCATTCCAGTACCCCTTTCTTGTCTACCTTGAAAAGGTTTGTGAACAGTTTTTTTGGGGAATTTTGTAAAGTGCCTTTTTAGCATGAAATGTTTCTTCTCGCACTTAATTTGGAATTGTATTACTTTTCCAATACTTGTTCATATTACTGAAATAAACTCATGATTGCTTTTATCGACCTAGAGAAAAAGAGTTGATAACTTTGAACTAGATTTGTTGGGTGTTATTTCTAGAGAAATGCCCATGTAGCTCACACTTGAAAAATGGAAGGAAAATATATTATTGAATTATAATTACAACTGTACAAAGGGCTCTCTATTTAAAGAGACTAAGGGCCTGTTTGGTGTGATGTATAAGGCTTGATAGTATAAGCTTATACTATACGTTATGACATTTTCAGTTGTTTGGTGTGACCATCGTATAATATAAGCTTATACAACAGAACTTCTTAATACATCAAAATAATATATAACTTAATCAGGCCTAAGGGGATGGGGTTAGGCCTGATAAGGGTTTTATGTATTAATATTGTTTACAAGTACAATTCTCAAGAACTAATATATCATTTCAATATTAATATACTAAAATAATTTTATTTAATATATTAATTTTTAAAATATTGGAGGATATTATCTTATACAATACCATACCAAACGCTGGATAGTATTAAAATTTAATCAGGTCTTATACTATCAGGCCTTATCCAATACTATGCACCAAACATGCCTTAACTGACCTATTGGGCTAAGTCCAAAGAATATTCTAGAATACAACAAATAATAATAAATAAAATAATTATTATTTACAACACTCTTCCTCGAGCTGAGGAATAGATATTTATCATTTCCAGCTTGCTACTAAGTTCTTGAAATTTATCTAAGGGAAGTCATTTTGTCAAAATATCAGCTAATTGATGCCCAGATGGAATGTATAGAATGATGATCAACCTGCTATCAAGTTTATCTTTGATAAAATGGCAGTCGACCTGAATATGCTTAGTCCGATCATGTTGAACTAGATTATGAGCTATACAAATGGAGGACTTGTTATCACATAGCAGTTTCATGGGTCTTCACATCTTATTTTGAGATCTTCAAGTATAATTTTTAACCATAATATAGCTCGAAATTCAGCCTCTGCACTTAACCTGGCAACCACATAATATTTCTTACTCCTCCACGTCACTAAGTTACCACAAAGAAACATACAATAACCAGTGGTTGATTGACGGTCAGTCACGGGTCTAGCAAAATCGGCATCAGTATAAACTTCTAAAGAGAGATTGCCATCACGCCAGAATAACAGTCCTTTAGCCGAAGTGGCTTTAAGATACTGAAGAATTCTCTCCGCTGCCTACATGTGTTTTTCTTTTAGATTATGCATAAACTGACTGACAATACTAATAATATCATCAACATACACAAGGAGCACAGTGAACTTCCCATCATGTGAGTGCTTAAAGAAAAGTGTGTGATCTCTTTGACTCTGTTTGTATCCTAAGGTTATCATAACCATAGTAAATCTTCTAAACTAGGCACGAGGAAACTGCTTCAATCCATACAAGGCCTTTTTTAACCTACAATCTTTATTTTCTCCATCCAAAGAGTTAAAGCCAGGTGGGATTTCCATGTAAATCTCTTCTTCTAACTCACCATTAAGGAAAGCATTTTTCACATCAAATTGATTTATATCCCAGTTGTAATGGGCAACAAGGGATAACAAGGCTCTCACAGTATTCATCTTTGCATCTGGGGCAAAAGTTTCTTCATAATCAATGCCATAGGTCTGAGTATAACCCTTGGCGACTAACCGAGCCTTATGTTTCTCTAGAGTACCATTAGAATTATACTTTAGGGCATAACCCCATCTGCACCCGACTGCTTTCTTTCTATTAGGTCCATCAACAACCTCCCATGTTTTATTTTTCTCCAAGGCATTCATCTCCTCTTGCATGGCTAAAGTCCAAATTCTTATTTTTTTTAGAGTAAACACCCTTTTTGGTCCCTGGCAATATCTACGAAATCCTTTTTAGTCCCTGGAAATAAAAAAAGACCAAATTGGTCCCTAACAGTATGAGAAAAGGGCCACGTTAGTGACGGAGGAGTTGACATAAGGACTAACGTGGCCCTTTTTTCATAATTTTAGGGACCAATTTGGTCCTTTTTTATTGCCAGGGACTAAAAAGGATTTCGTAGATATTGCCATGGACTAAAAAAGGTGTTTACTCTTTTTTTTAATGCTTTATGAACTGATTTTAGGATTATATAGAATCTAGTGCTGAAACAAAACTTTTATGCTCACAGAAAGGTTAGTAGAAGAGATAAAATGAGAGATGGACTGTTGAGTACAAGATCTTTTTCCTTTTCTAAGGGCAATGGGTAAGTCATCAGAGGCACTGATATCAGTTTCAGAAAAAAGAGGCTAAGGACTTACCAGTGGTTAAGACGATTGAGGTTGCTGGTGAAGCAGTGTTGGCTTTTTTTCTTGTGATATACCTAATCAGGTGTCACAATCTTCTGTATTTTCGGTGTATTGGATGAATCAGACACAGGAAGATCATAAACAAAAGGAAGTGATGTAGGAGTAGACGCGGAAGATCCAAACTCAAAGAAAGAAGGTGGTGGATCTGTTGAGGAATTGCTAGAACTGCTCTCCCCCTAAAGTTGAGGACTTGGGTAAAAGGACTCAGATTCATGAAAGGTGACATCCGTAAAAACAAAAAAATTCCGACTTGCAGGATGATAACACTTGTAACCTTTCTTATCAGGAACATAACCAAGGAAGACACATTTGAGAGCCTTAGGATCTAACTTACTGCGATGATGTTTATGAATATGAACAAAGACAACACACCCAAACACTCGTGGTTGAAGACTTTGGATAGTGGGAACAGAAGGAAATAATGAAGTCATTGAGTGAATAGGACTTACATTGTCAAGGACCCGAGAGGGTAAGCGGTTGATTAAGAAGGTTGCAGTAAGAATGACATCTCCCCAGTAGCAATTGGGTACATGTGTCTAAAAAAGTAAGGCACAAGCAACTTCAAGAAGATGATGTTCTTCTCAGCAACCCTATTTTGCTGAGGGGTGTCTTTACAAGTAAGTTCATGAATCATGCCCTGATCTTGGATAAATTGGGAAAGTTGTTGATTGACATATTCTGTACCATTGTTCGACATTAGTTTTTTAATTCATTTACCAAATTGGGTCTCAATCATTTTATAAAATTGAAGGAGTAACTGTAGTACCTCGGACTTTTCATGCATTAAGTAAATCCAAGTTACACGAGTGCAATCATCAATAAAAGAAACAAACCATTTATTACCAGAAACATGAGGGACTTTAGAAGGACCCCAAACATCAGAATGAACAAGATCAAAAGGTTCAACACTTTTAAAGGTACTAGAAGGAAAAGACTCACAATGGTGTTTTGCAAATTCACAAACATCACAATGAAAAGACTCAACAGATTTAGAAGAAAATAACGATGGAAATAAAGACTTAAGCAAACAAAATGGAGGATGCCCCAAGCGTTGATGATGAAGTCAAATCAAAGAATTAGCAGTAGACTGGCCATGAGTCAGGAAGAGGTGATCCTTAACACCTTCTATGGAAGATTCTGGAACCAGATAGTACAACCCACCCCGCTTCTTAGCACCCCTAATTGTCTTCCCTATGGTAAGATCCTGAAAAACACAGCGAGTGGGAAAGAAAAAGAAGGTTACAGTGCAATTCAAATCTTTGGTGATTTTATGGATAGAAAGAAGATTAGTGGAGAGTTTGGGAACATGAAGAGCATTTTGCAGATATAAGGAAGACTATAAGAATATGTTACCAGAACCCGCAATTGATGTGTGTGAGCCATTAGCTACGGCTATTGTGTGGGAGCCAACTTTAGGGTTATAAGAAAGAAAGAATTCGTCACAACAAGCCATATGATCAGTAGTACTAGAATCGATAATTCAAGAATGTTTAAAATCAGCACCAGAAACAAAAAAGAACGAGTAGTAGAGCTCATACCAGTCATAGCCAAAACACTAGTACAAGATGTTTTGCTCAGAGAATCAAGCATAGTCTGAATCCACTCCAACTCATCTCAGCGTATAGAAGTAAATTCCGAAGATGGAGGTTATGTCTCATTAGGAGCAGCAGTCACACCAGAGGAAACTAAATGATCTTAACCACGCATTTTTGCCATCTTGTCCAAGACATTTTGCTTTCCATGGAGGCGAAAGCATATATCCTTGATATGACCTGCCCTTTTACAATAAGAACACCAGCGGTCATCTTTCTTGGATCTGGAGGATGCACCATCAGCAGATTTGGTGTAGGAACCCCCTTGAGAAGAGTCATTCCTTTTTGCTAAGATCATAGCAGACCCATCAATGGGTCTAGAAACAGCAATAGCCTCAGAGGATGATAGCATAGCAAACTTATCTAATGTGTTGGGGTGCATTATAACTCCCCGACAGGTCTCCTCACCATGAACAGTATTGAAAACAGCATAGAGGGATGGTAATGTGTCTTTGCCAAGTATCTGAACTCGAATAGGATCATATTCGAAATTCAACCCAGCAAGAAAACCAAAAATACGCTCATTTTTCTCCTCCTTGGCTAAGGCAGTAGCATCCACAGTACATTGCATCTTCAAACTCTGAAATTGGTCAAGCTCAGCCCATAATTCCTTCATAACACCATAATAAGTTGTCACAGATAAGGAGTCCTGTTTAGTAGAAAAGATTTTATTGCGCAATTCATAGTGCGCAGCCATATCTTGTTCCAAGGAGTAGGTTGAGCGGAAAGTTTCCTAAATCTTTCTAGCGGAAGACAAAAACATACAGTGACGACCCACTTCAGGAGTCATCGAGTTCCATAACCAAGTCATAATAAGGAAATCCTCATTATCCCAGACAGCAAATTTAGGATCAGTGATTGCAGGAGCAGGGCCATCAAGATGAGCAATCTTATTGCAACTCTTAATGGTAGTGCGAATAAGTTGAGACTATGACAAATAATTCGACCCATCAAGTTGATAACT